GCGAATCTTAAAGGGAAACTGGAAAGGCTTTGTTCAGTATTGGAAGTATTTACAGCAAAAGAGGAGTCTGTAATTCGGAATCCAAAGTTTAACAAAGAAAGGCTAGTAGAAGATTCATGATAGATTACCAAATATTTGAATACATTACCAACGAACACAATCCAATACATCAAGATTATTCAGAACTAAGTAATAATAGGAATATCCAGAGTAATAAGGGACGTCGTCCTAGGTGCTTCAGACGAGTTGGAAAAATATGGATCCAGGAGAACAGACCAAGACATATTCAAGGCCTTGAAGAAAGCGGCGATGAGAAGAATATGGAAGAAAGCCCGACTGAGTCCAGGAGAGCAATTGTATGACGCCTATCTAGGATTAGAGGAGTTAGTGATATCCCTTTGTAAGATTATTAGTGGGATGTCGGTAGATACCCCAACCAGAAAAGCTTCTATGCCAAGGCTGTTGGGAGAAGCAAAGCAAAGATGGAACAGCATCAAGCACCGGATCGGTGGTGGTATGAAGGATTGACGGGATGTGATATCTAATAAAAATAGGTTATTAAGTGCTTTGCCAGTAAGCACCCTGTCTCCTAGAAATCGCGATAGATATCAGACAGAAGAATAGAATACACGTCTGCTACCGGAAACAGACAGCAAGCTGAGAGAGTGTGAGCAGGAACAGTACTTCCCATGTTCGAGATTGTCAAGGAAGCGATCGTGACATAGGAGGGATGAAAAAGAGAAGTTAGTGCCTGAACCAGTCACATGTGCCAAAACAGTGCTAACAAACAAAACACATATCTTTAGCAAGAAGTCAATCCCGAGGAGTGCCAATATTGGCATACTGAAAAAAAAAGATGAGATCCCACCATCTAATGACGATGAAAGAGAATTCGACGCCGAGGAAATAGAGAGGAATAAAAAAGATATAACGCTAGAACTGGGAGAAACCATAGACGTGAAGAGAATATGTACCTTCAATGAGACGTCAGTCCCGAGGAACAGCAATGTCGAGATGCTGAGAGACCGTGAAGAGAATGCAATATGCGTGAATGGGGAAGGAAGCGAGGACGAATTAGCACCCGAACCAGCCACCTGTAGCAAAACAATGAAATTAAACGATGTACTTATCTGTGGCGAGACACTGGTTCCAAAGGACAACAATACTGGGATGCTGAGTGATCGTGGACAAACTCCAACCACCAAAAGAAGCGGCGAGAAAGGTTATGACGTTAAAGAAACTTCAAACGAGGCCCTAGAATAAGGAACGCAGGAGTAATCAAAGAGGAATGCAGCTAAGAGATCAATTGGGAAGAAAACAAGACTTACCAGTGAGAAGACACCAGCAGCGAGCAGTGACGACATTGAAGCGCCAAGTGATAGGGTGAGAGTGGAGGCATTTGAAGCTAGCAGAAAGGGCGTCGATGCTATGGAAGCTGTAGGAGAGTCGAGAAAAAATGACGGGTTGGGAACCTCAGACCAACCAGGAGAGCGCCACGAAAAGGAGGGAAAAAACGATCAATGAAAAGATGAGCTGCAAAAACCAAAAAACAATAGGAGCGATGATACTACAAGAATAGGGAAAGAGTTAATAAGTAACTGCCATGTGAAAGATAACAAAGACGGAAAGAAAAACAATAACATTGTGCAGATAAAGGGAGACCCGAGAGTCGATCTCCAAAATGATAGGGACGAAGTAGTAATAGTACCGACCGGTGACATTACGATAACAAGTTGTGATGATCTGGGAGGATGTAGCAAAAAGGAAAACGGAGAATTAGTAATTAATGGCACGAGGTATTAGAACACAGATAGACTTACCATGAAGAGATCTAAAAGGAATAGGGTGGGGTTAAAGTATCATGATGAAGGATGGATCACGATTTATGAGCAGAATGCCCACCCCTGAGGGTAAAACGGAGTATGAAACAGAAGGAGAGATGCTGTTCATAAGTAAATGGGAACCATGGGACCCTGAGGACAGCAGAAATGATGATGTTATAGAAGAGGAATCTACAAATAATGCTGATACTATGTCACGAATGTACGAAACAGAAAATTAATTCTTGGAAATCAACATCAATACCATGCAACATTAAAATATAGGAGAAACAAGAGATTAATGATTCGACAATAAATAATATCCAGCCCAGGTTGTCAATGTTCTGGCAAAAACGAAAGCAAAAATTAATTAAAATAGAATATCAACAATATTATCAACTCAAAAACTACCTTTTAAACAACAAATTACCAAATAATATTAACACACAACATGTTGCAGATTTTATTTATCAAGTTATTATTTGTAGACATGAATATCCAAAGCAGATACTTTCAGATAGAGGAACACATTTTCAAAATAAAATCATTGAAGCTTTATTAAGAAAATTTGAAATAGCGCATCTATATTCCACCCTATACCACCCTCAAACAAATGGATTGGTTGAATGTTTTAATGGAACTTTATGTGAATCACTGGCCAAAATTACCGAAGGAAATCAGGATTGGAATGAATTTATAACACCAGTACTTTTTGCATATCAGACCTCCAAACAAGCAACAACCAAAATGACACCCTTTTACTTAGTTTATGAATGAAACTCCACAATGCCCTACAAAGAAATAGATGAAATTGTTGATGGAAATATTCTTAACCGATTATATATATTGATGGAAACACTTTCACAAGACCGTATTCGAGCCCAGCAAAATATTGAGAAGATCCAGCAAAAACAAAAGGAGAGACATGATCTAAAAATCAAAAAGGATAAGAGATTTAAAATTGGTGACAAGATTTTACTTTACGA